ATGGACCGTGGTATCCCATGCAACTTCACCACATACTCAACAAATAATCTAGCTATGGACTTAGTTGTATATGGATGAGTAATAGGAATGAGATGTGCATACTTGAAAAGTCGATCCACTACCACCATGATCCCGTTGAATCCGTTAGACATAGGCAGTCCTTCAATTAAGTCCATGGTTACATCTTCCCATATCATTTCGGGTACCGGCAAAGGTTGCAAGAGTCCACTTGGTTTCCTGGAATCCGACTTCACTTTTTGGCAAACGTCACACTTTGCTACAAAACCTCGAACTTCATTCTTCACCCCAGGCCAATAGAAGGTATTTGCTAGCCTCGCCCAAGTACGATAAACTCCTGAATGTCCCCTAATCATAGCTTCATGAAAGTATTGAACAATCTCATGCCTCAACCGATCAATTTCGGGTACATACACCCAGCCCTTATATAGTAGCAAGCCGCTATAGACATCATAATCTTGAACCTCCTCTTCTTGAGCTTACATTTTCCTACTAACATCATTACAAAAGGCATCTTGTACATTTGCCTCTCGTAATTAATCCCATATAGCCCATGTTGGTCCGGAAATAGCTTGAAGTTCTGCCACATCGGTACGACGAGATAGTGCATCAGCTACCGAATTTTGTCGACCCGGTCTATAACAAATCTCGAAGTCAAATCCCATGAGCTTCGACACGAACTTTTGTTGCTCCAGAGTTACTATTCGTTGCTCCAATAGATGCTTAAGTGGTTGTTCGTCTGTCACAATTCGAAAATGTCGGCCCAAAAGATAAGGCCTCCAAACCTGAACCGCTTCTACCACAGCTAGCAATTCTTTTACGTAGACCGACCATCCCACTCGTACACTTCCCAAGGCCTTGCTCATATAGGCAATTGGTCGATCTTCTTGTGTAAGAACGGCATCACTGGCATCCGTATGTACTTCAAACATCATATCAAAGTTAGGATTTGCCAACACCAGAGTCGTTGACATAGCCCCCTTAAGCTTTTCGAATGCCTCCTCACTTGTAGTTGACCATTTAAATCCTCCCTTTTTCGTCATCTCGATCAATGGTTTAGCAATCGATCCGAAGTCTTTGACAAACTTTCGATAATATCCGGTCAAACCCAAAAATCCTCGTAGTTCCGATAAATTCTTCGGTTTAGGCCACTCTAGCATTGCCTCAATTTTCCTTGAATCCACCTTCACCCCTTCAAAGGATATGATGTGACCCAAGTACTCCACCGATTCTTGACCGAAAGAACACTTCGAAGGTTTTATCTAGAATTCATTCTCCTTCAAAATATTCAAAACTACTTTCAAATGCATCACATGTTCATCCCAATTCTTCGAATACACTAGTATATCATCGAAGAACACCAACACAAATTTTCGCAAGTAGTTCTGAAATATTGAATTCATAGCGAACTGAAAAGTAGACGGTGCATTGCATAAACTGAAAGGCATTACCAAATATTCATAATGCCCTTGATGAGTCCGGGATGCCGTCTTGTGAATATCCTCTTCTGCCACTCGTATCTGGTGATATCCCGCTCACAAATCCAATTTGAAAAAATAACGGGACCCCGTCAACTCATCCAACATGTCATCAATGCGCGGAATTAGAAAATGATCATTTATGGTAGCCGCATTAAGAGTCCGGTAATCAGTGCAAAATCTCTATGTTCCATCCTTCTTCTTTGCAAGTAGCACCGGTGAAGAAAAAGGACTCGTACTATGCCGTATTAATCCTGATTCCAGCATCTCACGAACTTGCTTCTCAATCTCGATTTTCTGAAAATGAGCATATCGATAAGGATGCACATGAACCGCTTTGGTTTCATCTAACAAGGGAATACGGCATCAAACTCTCTTCTTGGCGGTAGATTTTTTGGATCAGCCTTCACCTCTTCGAATTGTTGTAGCAACTCGTCAATTTCCTGCTGATGTGTTTTCTCCCTCTCTGCGTCCTCCAATTCATCAACTCGAATTGCAAAGATTTGGCTACTCTTCCTCCACAATTTCTCCAAACTCTTGGCACTTACCTCCTTCGTTTCCTCATGAGTTCCGGTAGATAATTTAATAAGTTCATCACCCCAGTGAAATTCCATTGTCCCCACCTTATAGTCCGAAGTGATCGGACCCAATCCTTCCAACCATTGAACTCCCAAAACCACATCCGGACCTACCAAAGGTAGTGCATACAAGTCGGTCTTTAAGGTAACCCTTTGCATTTTAATTGGCACACCCCGATAGAACTCCGAACATTTTAATCTATCACCATTAGCAACCCTTACTTCAAAAGGCTCCACTTTTGTGACATGCAATTTTAACTTATCAGACACCGATGAATTAATAAAATTATGAGACGAACTGTTGTCGATTAGCACAATTACACGTCGATCACGAACCCAAGCTGGCATCTTCATCGTCTTAGGTACTTGAGTACCCGCCATTGCATGGACCGATATCTCAAGATCCTTCTCGTGAAAATCGACTTCACTCTTCAATTGATCCTCCACTAGTTCATCTTCATCGGATTCCACACACTCAATGAAAAACGACCTCCTCTCTTTGCACCGATGGCCCGATGTGAACTTCTCGTCACAATTAAAACACAAGCCTTTCTCCCTCCGCCTCTACATCTCTTCCCAAGATAAACGTTTAAACCCCGAAGAATTTTCTTTTTCTTTTCCATTGCCGGTAGGTATATTAATTCCCGTCCTTTGCACATTAGAAGGAAAAGTTTTCGGTCGCCTCATTTCAGGTCGATTGACCCTACGTAAGGCTGTCAAGTGATCATCACGCATCCGAGCGGCTTCCATGGCTGCACGCATGGTTCTTGGTTTGTCCAACCTTACCTCAGCTGCCAAATTGGATTTCAATCTACCAATGAAGGTACCAACAAGTGCTCCTTCTGGCCAATCACGAACTCGACTTGCAATTCTTTCAAACTCCTTTTGGTATTCCCGTAAACTTCCCATTTGTTTGATATGTGAAAGAGCTTCGTCATAGTTATGATAATCCGACACTCCAACTCGAATAATCAATTCTTTTTCGAAGTTCTTCCAACGAATCCTCTTGTCCTCCTTTTTGTATACCCTCGATAGCCATTACCACCATACATTTGCTTCTCCGTCGAGATAATAAGCGGCATATTTCACTCTTTCCGACTTGGGTATCTCGTTAATCAAAGTATTGACAAGCACGATTTAACCACGAATCAGGATCCGTACCATTAAACGTAGAAAGCATCAACTTCGGTTTTTCAACCCTTTGCCTTCCACGGTGATTTGAACCCCTCGATCGGTTGTCTTCATCCACTGCAAATTCATTCCAGTTTTCGTGACCCCTATCAGATTCGGCTGACCCTTTAGAAGATGATTCCGAATTGTTACCTCTCCTAGCCCGTCGTCCAACGGTTTGAAGCATCATCCTCTCGAGTCTTGCTATTGTTTGGTTCATGGATTGAATTTCTTCGCTCATTGCTCGCATGCTCTCTTCCATATTATCCATCCTCTCTCGATTAGTCGCCATGATACACGATTAACAACTCTCAATGAAAGCACCAATGTTACGAATCGTGTATCAAATTGAGTATTTTGTATCAAAACCCGCATTATGGCCTTGATCTTGACATCAGGAACAAACATTAGAGTTCTGGTATATTTGATTGGGGTAAATTGGTTATTATATCAGTTTCTATGGGTAAATATGAAATCTTTTGTATTTATACCGAGTTTAATTGTAATTTTGACTTTTGACTCTATGTTGATTACTTCAATTTATAAATAAATTAAATATTATTCAGTTTCTCAATTCATATTTCTTTTATTTGAAACATGATATATGATAATGTTACATAGGTGTGACATAAGAAATAACTCATCACTAGTACAATACCCGTGTATTACACGGGTGCTTGTTAAAAAATTATTCTTAAATTTTAAAATTAATGAAAAAAATTATTTTAAGTTTTATTTTCTTTTTTTACAAAAGATATATATTATTATTATATATTTTAAAATGACACTTGTTACTTGTGCGACTTATGTGTGTTATATTATAGTAATTTTTATAACTTAACTACTTGATATATATAAATATATTAATTAATAAATAATTTTATTTTCTAATTAATATTAAAAAAATTATTATTGTTATAAAGATAAATATAATTTAATTTTTTTATACATACAATATGGATGTTAAATCGAAGCTAATCAAGCCATGATTAATTTGATATATTATATATGTAAAACTGATAAGAATACAACAGTTATTAACTTTTAAAAGACATTTAAAATTCAATGGTTATATTCAATTAATACATGTAACATGGCCATAAATAATCAACATACCTATGGATAATTTGGACCTAATTGTTTTTGGATTGGAAGTAAATTAAAATCTACCTAAGCCTAATAAAAACGCATGTAATTTTGTCACATAGGATCCCGAAGCATGCGGGCTTACCACTTAAGCTCAGAACGTTATGAATTAATATATAGGGGGATTACATAAAAATGTTTCGACCACGAGAATATAGGATAAGTAAGAGAAAAATTTATTTTAATATATTTTAATTGCTCATAGTTTTATATTATTGGTAAAATATATTTAAATTTAATAGAAAATAATATGTTCAAGTAATACCCCATAGTTTTTTTTAATTAAGTTAATTGATAATATTAAAAAAAACACTCATTTAACCAATTTGTACATATACATTTATGAACATGTTGATACTTAAAATAACTGCTTACCTATTTATTATATTTTGTATAGTTTTTTCATACTAATATCGAAAATATACATATAATAGTTATTTGAAGTATTTTATGATAAATAAATTTCTTCATACACATTTATACCTTTTTTGATGTATAATCTTAGACTTAATTGTTATTATTGAATTAACCCGTATATATTGAAAAAAAAAAAATTGAATTCATCTATATAAAAGCAGAATTTATGGAGTCTAATGTCAAGTAATCTTGTGCGCGAACAAGATAATTTCCATTACACGAGATAATAGTATCAATATTCAACAAGAAACAATTGCTTGCATATTCAAAATCTACAATGGACAACCCGTTAAACAGAAAACAGGCTCAGCTAACACCTACTACATACTTGAACAACATATTACTATTTTCGTCAAATAAATCGGTTAAGCCAATTTTTCTTGTTGAAACAAAAATTGATTGGCCAGAATTGTTTGTCACCGCCGTTGAGACTATGTACAGTTTCAACCAACAATATCTAGAGTTTCTAAAAGGGAAAAAAAAAATGTAAAAAAAAACCTAAAAAATGCTTAACTTACACCTCTTCTGGGATTTAGGAAAGTTTCGTGTCATCAGGTTCTCAAATCGCGTTACTGCTCGTCCGAGTAATTCTCTTTGCTTCTTCAAGGTCCTTCAAAAACCTGTGGAGCCATACATCTTAATAACAATAAAGTGCAATGAAAGGATTATCTACAGAAATACTATTATTAGCAGTGTCACTGTTACTAATCTTTCGTTCAAGAAANCAGACCTCTTCGAATTGACGATAATAGAACCACCAAGGATAAAACGAATCCCAGTGTTACTAGCATTTTGAAGAGAAACCGAGCGAGCCTCCTCATAGGTAGTCCCCCCAACAATGAATATAATCACGTCCTGTGGCCTGTCAAATCATTATATAATCATATATACTCTCAGTTAAATATATAGGATGTATATAGTTAAAGACGACTATAATCCGGTAGACACTAAAATATACATATGTTAGTTGACGTTTTCTTGAAAAGAAAAAGAAAATGAAAAAAGCTAAATTAATGAGGGGATTGCGGAATCAGAGAGGGTACTCGACACTGAATGATAGGCTTTTCTATGCACGACCAGAGAGCTTGCGCACGTTTTGAATGCAACTTGCAGGGATATGCAGAAACAAATAATCGAAAAGAAGAAAAAAATAGCAACTCTGGATCGTTACAACAACAACAACAACAACATAGCCTTTTAGTCCCAAGCAACTCTGGATCGTCAAGGAAAATAATTTAATCACACAGCTTCATATAAGATCCATATTCAAAATTCCCACCTAGCTTGCTGGAAATGATTTCCAACATAAGGATAGTCCACATCTCTCAAACGTCCTTTAACAATGCTCTCCATTGTTTGAGAAAGCAGAGGTTGATGTTGAGTGTACACATTCTCCACCCCCTGAAAAGAGAAAAAAAATCATTTTTTTTTTTTTGGCACTTAGAAGTTAGAAGTTTTCAATCAAAATAGATACAAAGACTTGTAGACAAACTTTGAGACCACGAGCCATATTAAGCGCATAATTAAGCAGATCCCTATTCCCATAAAGATCCCCGGTTCTTCTATCGACCCCTGCTTGTTTCAGTAGAAACTGCACAAGCTGCAAATCCCACAAAGGCAATGTAATGTGTGTATTTCAGTACAAGTGTCAATTAAAATCAGTATAAGTTTTCATGTCTAATGAGTTTGCTAGAAAAAATTGGTGCAAGATAAAATGGAATACCCCAGGCTTATACTTGGGAGATCGAGCTGCCAATTTATTGAATAACTGCATCAGCTGAACGGGACTTTCCTTCTCATATCGCAATGCGTAGAGCATAACCAGGCGCAGACGATCAACATCGGAAATATTTTCATCATTCAAAAGATTTGTAACAGCCTGACAAAAAGGTACACACACAGTTGAAAAAAATAGTGATAGTTTTCTACAGAAGGATAGTTGAACAAAAAGCTAATTCTTGCTCCATTTAAGAAGGTCATTGTTACCTCAAATGCTGCCCCTTGCCCACCACTGCAAGCTAATTCTTGCTCCGTTTGTGACACTAACATAAGTTTTCGTTCTTCAACAATCCTGCTCATTTCTGTGACTAATGTCACGTGCTTGGATACATTGCCGTGCATTTTCCTGTATTCTGGATAGTTGTCAACAAATTTGGCCATGTCCTCTGCACAAACCATCTCCGGCTGAGAAAATTAAGGGCGTGCAAGGATACAAATATATCCGTTTCAAAACGGTTTTTTTTTTTTTTTTGTTTTTTTTGTTAACTATGGTTAATTTTGAAAAATATAATATGGTTAATTGCTAGTGTGACTTTGAGTTTATATTAAAATAATACTTAAAATAAAATAATTAAAGTTGATTTGACATAAAAGTAGAGATGATGTGAAATAATGGTTAGTCAAAATTATGTGAGTGGATGAATAGTGAATTAAAGTTTATGCTATGTGTAAAACTGATTGATTGTCTGATTGGTATTACTTAATCATCATATTGATAATATTGAGGATAATGGGGTTGATTTAAAGTTGAGTTAGATTGTGAGTATAGATTGAGTGCTGATTGAAGAAATTTATCAACACACACACCCTAAAGGTCACTATACGACCAAAAACCAGAACATATGATTTAAGTATATCTACAACAAAGCACAAGTGAGAGAAAAGCAAACCTATTGTTTGAATTTTCTGATTGCTTTTGGCAACTTGTTGAAAATCATCCACCATCTTTTTAATATTCATTCCAATATCTCCGAAATTCTCGTACATGTTAGTTTTGAAAAAGGCATCTTGCTCGGAAGACAGTACAACCTCCTGAGAGTTACAGACAACAAGGCTGTAACCAAAATTTCGCCATGCATTGGATAACATAAAATAAAAAGACAGATTTGTTCAAAAAAGAAGACCAACCTGCTGATCCTTTGATGACTTTACAATGTTTTTGAGGTCCACTTTATTGTCTTGAATGCCTATTAATTCATGAACCATCGCCTACGGACAAGACAACAAACAAGTTCAATATACAATCAACTTGATAAAAAAATATAAAAAATAAAAATAAAAATTTGTCTCTATCAATGAAGAGCATAACCTGGTACGTCCATTGGTTCAGCAGTGGAGTAACAGGGTCATCCCGCCTATCAACAATAAGCAACAACGGAGAAACTTCTGAACGCCTAAAGTCAAAAAGACCACTTTCCTGCTGGTACATGAGCTTCTGCAGTATCATCAAATAAGGAATATGAAATCAGTTTCAGAGTACCTCTGTATTAGAAAACCCCAAGTAGAATAGCACATATAGAGTTCAGTAGGCATATCAGATATCCGAAGTTTTTTTTGCATTAAAGTTAGGTTTCAAGCAAACGAGTGTTATTTTATGGGAGTTCTCACCGAAGCTTCTTGTGCTATCCTTTTCGAAATATCCGACGTTCGCGAATAACGGATAATAGGCCTTCTTTTCAGGGCCAGGAAAACGGCAGCAATTCCATCAACCACTCGGTCACAGAAGTGCTGTAAACTCGAAGGATCTACCACAGCCGGGAGCATATACATGTGATTTGAAGCAATATTAAAGATGAAGTGGTAAGGATCAACTGCAACAAAGTCTGCATAGAACTCCTGCATATTGTGACATGAACAAAGTGATTCAACTTAAAATTGATAAGTCAACCAACCAGAGTTAAGTGATTTAAGCCTATTCAACAGTTTGAGCAAGTTAAGAGCATTTTTTACACTTGTAACCTTCTTGGCAATGCGAATAAGACTAAATGTCATGAAATTAACAAGTTACCTGCACTTGTTGAACTATTTCATGCTCATCAGAGTCTGCTAAATTGTGAAGTTGCGTATCTTTCAACATATTGGAGAAAACTGTAAACAACAATGAACAGACGGGAATCACTTAAATCAGTCTTCCAAAATATATTTCATTACTAATTAAATAAGTCCAAGAACTTCATAATAAAGAAGCCAACAACTAATCGGAGTAAAATCTAACATGAAATCCAGGGATAAAGAAAAAAATTATTTCCTATAACAATACTCACAGAGGTGGTACTCTCCAAACCGAGGAGCAGCAAGCTGACGTCTCATTAGCTGAATGTTCTCAGGCGTAGGACGTAAAAAATACACAGCTTTGAGATGTGACATGGGTTCTTTAGACATGGAAGTTGAATCTACCAGCTCCACCAGAAACACTTCTTTCTGAAGAAGATCAGATTGAGAATATACTACACTCACAATACTAACCTGAGAAACATTGAATATCAAATCTAAATAAGTAATTTGACAAACTCAATCAATTTCACTTTAAGTTGCATAAGAAGTCCTTAGTTATCCTTGTTCCCCTAGATATTAAAATCGAACAAGAATGCGGGAATAATCAAATTCAAACTCCCATATCAGGCATAATCAAATTCCCCCAAGAGACTAAATTTTCACACACCAAAAGAAAAAATCAATATTCGGGGGGAAAAACATCAAATTCCTTCATAACAAGCTGTGATTGTTTAGTCCCCACCAAAAACTAATAAAAGTTTCAACAACCCTTTTCGTTTTTTAAACTCAGACAAATAAAGCATACACTCACTAGTTCTGAAATTAATTTCTAAGCACAACTAAGAGTACCCATCTGATCATGATCATTGGGTTATGAGAGCATCAAAACTTAATCCAGAACATTAAAATAAAAGAAAATTCTGATAGTGAAGAAATACACAAATGAGCGAAGTCCTAGAAGATAAAGAAGGCACCGTTTGGGAGTCTAGGATAAGGACTTTCATGCCCGAAATGTCTTGTAACATGCGATTTATGTAATCTCGTACGACTGTTACCATCACCATTTCTTCTGTTTCGAGGATGTGCAGCTCAATTACCGATTTGATCAGCGTATTTGTGCAAATCACCCTACAGGGTTCAAGAATTTTGTAAAAAGGGAAAATGCAGAAGACATGGATTTGGAAAAAGAACGGGAAGACTGGAGAGGAGAAGAGAAGACGGTCTCAAACGACGACGNTAATTACATATTTTGGTTCATTATAATACTCAAATATTATTTTATTCATTATAATATTATCGTATAATGTCATTATTATTTATAACACTTATAGAAGTAATATTAATTTTTTATATAATGATAAATATTTTATGTATATTAATATTATTTATTAATGTAATTAATTTAAAAATATATAAGCAAATTTAATGTTTGTTAGGAATGTGATTATATGTAAGTTAGGATAAAATAGAATGTATCCAAAAAAATATGCTCATAATATTTTCCTTTAAATGTTTGAATGAATTTTAAAATTCAAATTACAAATCAACTGCCAGTTTTTCAAAAAATTTCAAAAAAAGTTGCTAATTGTAGTAAATTCAAAATTTTAGGCGGGATTTTACTTTCTACTTAGGCTATGTTTGGTACACAAATAAGCTAGCTTATAGCTTATTTGGTTAGCTTATAAGCTCCCTGTATTAAAATAAGCTTCGTTTGGTAGGACGAGTTTTTTCAAAACTCTCGAGCTTTTTTCATAAGCTACTTTGGGTAGCTTTTCAAATAAGCTAGTTGAAAATTTTATTTCAGTTAGCTTATCAGCTAATTTTACCAAACACTTTTATAATATAAGCTAGCTTTTTAGTTATAAGTCATAAGCTATAAGCTATAAGCTCGAAAATTAATTATAAGCTATAAACTAGCTTATCAGCTATCAGCTAACTTATCAGCTAGTTTTACCAAACATAGCAGTAAATCTCTATTGCTATTTTTATAGTAATAGATATAAATAAAACCAAATTTATTCTAAGTTGAAAATAAATAGACAAAATTGTAATTTTAGTCATGTATGTTTCTTTTATTTTATTTTATTTTCCAATCGGCAGAAGAACTCAATAAAAAATGAAAAATATTCATACAGCCCAAGGCGCCAACTAGCCCAATTCAAAAGATAACAAGATAGAACCGCTCCACCGGCGACCTCAAATCACAACCGGCAAACAAGCCAAATACTAGACTAAAGGCGAGCACAACAACTCGAGACCTTTAAAAAGAAATAATCCAAACAAAACAAATAAACGGGGACATAATGACATCAACCCCTGAACCAAAAAACCTAGCTAATGATCATATGCAACCAAAACCCCTACATCCGAGACTTCCTGTTGGAGAATTCAGCCATTCATTCAAAGCAAGCTATAAAATGATCTTCTCCGGCAACCAAGACTTCTAAAAAACCTAAAGAACCTAGCTAATGATCCTATCGTCCATACTTTCACGATCTTTGGAATGGTTTGGAGGCTCGGGATGTTGTTTTCTTTTCCCTTGTCAAGGGCCCCATATTTTTCCTCGAATTGGACTTCATGAAATTGGGAATTCCGTGTTTGGTCAGGATTTTGATGAGTGGTGTGAGGATTAGTTTTTTCGGGGGAATTATTGTGTAAGATTTGAGAATAAAAGATCAGTAAGGCCTTTAACGAATGCGGGATTGCGAATTATATCGATAACATCAGGATGAATAAGAGTGTTGTGCTCATGTTGGTTTGAAGTGGGACTGGAAGAGTGAGAGATAGCTAGATTTTGATTGGCACGATGTGGATTCACTGAAATACCTGATCCCACGAAGTTTTCATCTTACAATGGAGGAAAAACAAAACGAATGAAAAAACTTATGAATAAAGAGGAGTTTATCGAGAATGTGCGATAGAAAGAGAGGTTAGTGGAGAAAACATATTTAAGCTTGCATAGCTTTTTAAATCTTAGTCCTTAATTCTTTTTTAATCCTAACTATACAATTCACTTTATCTAAAGATGTCAAATTGGGTTGTGTGTTTCTTTTCTTGTTCTAGTGGTAGTGATAGAACCACTAGGGGCTGCAGCTCAGTGGTGGTTTTATCTTTTGTTATCCTAGGACTTGGGTTCTAGTTGAGTTAGGCTTAGGGATGAGTACCCGGTTCATTGGATTGTCTTTGCTGGTCTCTTGTCTCTAATTTAGTTCTTTTGTTTCATTTCTAATTCGCTTTCTTATCCTGCATTGTTGTGGTTTGGTTGGACTTTTTGCCTCTGACTTATAATA